TTTTTTTAATGTATCAACTAATTAAAAAAATGGGAGTTTTCCTTGTTGGATTCACACGTCATTAACATTTAAAAAGTTAAGTGATTTGTTGGCAAATTAACGTGACACATGTCATTTAACTGACGGAAGGACTATTTTGGTACCAAAAATGAAAGTTCGAGGATAATTTTGGTACTTTTTAAAGGTAAGGGACAATTTTGGTACCAAAGTGTAAAGTTGAGGGACTAAAATGGTACTTAAACCAATATATATATATATTAATCACAAAAATTAATTAAAAAAATAAAAAAAAATCAAAAAATCAAAAAAATATGAAAATATGACAATCTCTCTTTTTTTTAACTAATGCATCTTCATATTTCTTTCAGGTGCAAAAAGGGGAAATTCAAGAAGGAAATGGAAAGGAAACTCAAGAAAGGACTCAATTGAAGGAATCAAAAGTTTAAAGGTGAAATTCATCAAATTTACAAACCCAACACTAACCCATTTCAATTGAGCCCATTATCCAAACCCAATTACCCAAAACCCAAAGCCTACCAACTACCCAAGCCCAAAATCCCAAAACTAAAAAATTACCCAAAAATCTAAAACCAACAATTACCCAAACCCAAGCCCAAATACCAAACCCATTTAATCAAAAAGAAAAAAAAAAAAAGAAAAGAAAAAAGATTAAATCTTTTTTTTTTTTCTCCAGAACCTTCTTCTTCCATTTTTCTTTACCTTTCTCTCTCCCGAATCAGCCTCCACCCTCCTCTGCATCAATCTCCAGCTTCCTCTCCCCCCTGCACGAACCAGCACCCCCTACTCAGTGCCCCTAGCTCCAGCGCCCCTAGCTCCTGCACCCCTAGCTCCTATGCCCAGCCTTGTTTCCCGAACCAAAGCCCCTAGCCCCTAGCCCCTGCGCCCGGCCTTGCTTCCTGCACCAGCCTTGCTCTGCATCAGCTCCCTTGCTCTGCACCAGATCGCCTGCACTCTGCACCAGCCATCACCGGCAATCATGCCCCTGCTGCTGCACGCCTACACCCCCCTCTGCTGCACGCCCGTGCCTTGCACTCTGCTACGCCTGCACTTGATCCTGCACTCCTGCTTCTGCCAAAAAGCGGGATCCTTTGCTTGTTGCGCACCCCCTGCATGCTGCTGCCAATCCTGCACGCCTCTGCAACCCGATCCTATACCTGCTCTGTCACTCCAGAAGCCCTGAAAAAAGACAAAAAAAAGGAGGGCTCGGTCCTTTGCTTTTCAATCGGCAGAAATCAACAAGTGGGTATAAATAGAGAGTTTTAGGTTAGGAAAAGGGGCTCTCTGGGGTTGTTCTTTTTGGTCTGAGTTTGGGATTGCCGGAGGTGATAGCAAAAGAAAGGAGATCACCGGAGGAGATTGTGCATTTCCTTGGTTTTTGTTGTCTTAGGTAAACTTTCTGATCAGAGGAAGTTTTGGGGAGGGTGGTGAGGGAAAGGTTGGAGCTTGATCCCGTGGGTGGGATCCCTCCCTCCGATGCTGATCTGTTTTCTCCCAAGACTTTCGCCATGGTTGTTTTAATTTCTTTGTGTTGATGTACTGCATTTGTATTTGAGGTTGATATCGCGAATGAAATCAAGCATTTTCTTTTTTTTAATTTCATGGATCTGAAATCAATTGGATGTATGTTTGTTTTTCTTTGTTTGTTTTGGTTGAACAGCTGAATAGTAACCTTAAGTTCCATTTCGTTTCTTTCCAGATTCCCTTTCTGTTCGACATTTGATCCTTTTTTTGGGCACATTGATTAAATGTGTTGTTTGTTGGCAATAAGATGTAATTGATGATGAACTTTAAATTTCTCTTTATGTCTTTTGGATTTTAGTTTTGTTGAAGATTTGATTTGTTTTTGTGTTTATCTGTTTCAAAGGTTGTGTTTTTCGGTTGGGTTT